TTTGCCATGAAGAGCATGTGTATCTGTTCTGTTGTGAGATAATAAGCAAGGGGTGCAAGAGAAACCAGAGAGGGGAAGAGGCATAAAACCAAATATGAGAACAAAGCACAAAAGCCATTTGTCGTGAAGTCTTTGGCCAGTATAAAGTGACATTATTCCTGTTCTGGTGCACAGTTATGCCAGCTCATATATTGGTCTTTGACACTGAAAAGTAAAATCTTCCTGTTTGGATGCCTCCTCTGTCCCACTCTTGCCAGCAGCTCCTGGTCTCTGCTCTTCACAAAAGCAGCACATGGAATTACAGACTTGAAAAGGTGTCTTTGCCTCTTGTGCCTGCAGAGGAAATATTATCTACTTTCCCGTTTTATGTGGGCTCCTTTAGTTTCAATAATCTCTGTGCAAATACATGTATTCACACTTTTCTCATCCTCTCAACTACCTGGACGGTTTGATTTTTAAGTCACACCAAGAGCAGAGCTGTGAGCGCTATGAATAGCCACCAGCCCTGCTGGCACCACCGTAGTGAAACCCAGCGGATATGCCACTTGTCCCCATGTGGTTCAAATGCTGTTCATCATCTGTACAAATATCCTCCTCAGAGATGATTCTATATCCAACACACATGAAGGATCCAGATGACATATTTTACCTTACACATTGAGCATAGGTCTCCTGTGAATGTCCCAAAGAAGGATACAAGTAACAGATTCAGAAACTTCACCAACTTCTATTAAGCCTGATTTTTAAAGTATTGGATAACATCCATGACTGAAGGCACTAAAGAAGTAAAATACTATACTCGGACCACTGTGCCCTGGAGACACAGAATGCCATTTCTGAAGCAGAGCTGCACAGGGGAAATAACTTTCCATAAGTCAAGCAGCATCCCATCAGTTACACAGGTACCCTTGTGCTCCTCCAGCTCCTGCAAAAGCAAACCACAACAGAGACGCGGTGATGCATTCAGCCATGTTTGTATTAAAAGCTCAGATACAGGCAAACACCCGTTAAGAAGAGGTTAGAAAATGTAAATGCTATGATTTCTTTTATGTGTGACTGCTGTAATCTGATTATAGCTTCAGGAGTGTTTACACCATGTACAATGTGTATTACTATACTCTTTGAATCTTTGGGTAATTAATTAAACAAGAGAAGACCTGCTTCATGGTTGGACTGGAGTTACTGTTGTGGCAGTGAAATGCTGGGGTTTGAACCCCGAGCCCCCAAGTTAAGGTTGACATATGGGTGATTCCCACAGCCCTTCATAAAGAGGTGGTGAGTTTGCCTTATAGCTTCCCCCCAGGGTGCGGCCGGCCCTGCAGGGAGAGCCAGAAGGGAAATGAGCCCCAGGGGTCCCGCAGTGAGTTGACAAAGGTCAGGTGTCTGCTTGGGGATAAAAGCTGGGACCACTTGCAGGGAGTCAGGAGTGTCTGTCTGTGGAGTGCACCCCACAGAGCTTCCTGGTTCAGGGCAGACCTCCTGACTCTCCCTGGAGCTGGGCCCTGGTCTGATTAGGCCCTTTGAGAACACGGGTTGATCGGGTGAGAGTTGTCATGTGGGCAACTTTTCTCATGTGTTTAACTGGCTGGTCTGGCTGTTTCCCATGCCAACTATGGGCAACCTTGGTTCACTGTTTGTACCACCTGTCGTGGGCCGGGTCATGTCGTTTGTGGGATCGTTGGGGGTGGCGTCGATCATGTATGAGCTTGTTGACCTGTTTGTACCCCCGGCGGTCATTCCTATAGTAACATTTCTGTCTACAATACAGTCTGTGTATTGGTTCATCTCCCTGTTGGTGCTATCATTTTCGTTGGGCCTGGTCATTGGCAAAACAGGCAGACATGCTGCATTGTGCCTTGCCCTCTTGGGCACTGAGAGGACTCCTGGTTTCCCGTGGGGGCTGGTGGCTTCTGTGAGTGTTCTCCAGAGCTGGATGATTTCTGCTCCTGATGAGTTCAGCATCTCAGTACACAGCTGAGTCAAAGGCACAAAAAAACCTTTTTTTTCTTCTATGTTCTCATTTTGGAGATAGATGGGTTATAACTAGAATTGGGCGAAGGGTTGACTTTTCTGTGATCAAGTGGAAAATGTGTGTATTTGGTTCAAAACTTATTGAACAAATTTTAATAATATGATTGGGTCAAATGGAAGGAAATGTTCAGTTTTGTGACATTTCTTATCAGCCTTTGTTAATGAAAATCCAGGAAATACAGGATTAAAGTCCTAAGCAGCCTGGGAAAACTGCACTTATATGGCTTCAGAAACTAAATAAAAGCCCAAGGTCCCACTGAGGAGGCTGCTGTCAGCTCACAGCTAGTCTACAAACTGCAAAAACAGGTTAACTTGTTGAAAATACCATTCACTGCAAATTATTCATTTGTCTATTGTTTGGTATCCAGAAGTTTTCTATCTGCTGAAAGAAAATAGCGCCATGTATTTAATTTCTAGTTGTTCTTATAGAGAAAGCATGCAGAATTAACTCTCCATCTACTCAAGCTCAAGTTAAAGCAAAATTTGAGGACAATATTAAAAAATAGATTTCGTTCAATTTTTCTGTTTCATTTTTTCATGTGTAAGGCACATAACTATCTTTTATCTTTTTTCCTTGTTGCTTGAATTTGGAACATGCAATTTTGGCCATTTGGAACAGAGTATGTTTCTCTTTGAAGTGACTTTCATGTAACTGAAGACATATGCTGTGACATTTCTACCCCTTCAAGCCTTCACTTTAGATTTTGCACCCAGATACTTCATAGCCTCCTTGCAGATCATTTGCAAAACTTGCTGATTTCTTGGATGCTGGTGGTGAATCACAGATAACCGATCTTGAGGTACAGCAAGATGAACCAAGCTAAAGCTAGCAATGTTTTGTGTCAGTTCTACAAATATTTCATCAAGAGGATGCTTCCCTATCTTGCTTATGAGAATGTTGTGTGAGATGGTGTTCAAATTTTATATCTACTGCTTCTCCACAAGCTATGAAGCCTGTTGGTCTGTCATGGAAAGAAGTGACATTTGTTCAACATGTTCCTCCTGCGTGAGCACATGTCTATCCCTCATCCAGTCATTTTCTTCCAGGAGCTTAGAAGCTATCTGATGATTTGTTCCAGGATTTTTCTATGAACTGCTCATAATTTGAACTTTTCTATGAGCAATAATCCAAAAGAGGGAAATTGAACAATTTTTTTTTTTTTGCCTTCTCTGTATCTTCTTTTAGTAAATTCCCTCTCTTAGTGAAATGATGAATGTCTCCCTCCTCTCATGTTTACCAAGGGACCTCCAGCTGTTCCAGGGCAGCTAAGCAAATTCGTAGTTATCCACTGCTTGTCAATCCCCACAGCTCCTCTGGTGCATAAGCAAGGGAGTAACATTTTTTAAAAATCTGTAATGAAGTAACAAAAATGTATTTCAAAGAGAAGAAAAAGCTCCTTTGATGAAAGACGTCATAAAACTTCATATGGATTATTGCAAAGACTAAGAAGAGCATGTCCAATATTACATGGGTGAAAAGAGCAGTTATTAAGGTACTTTTTGTTCTCCTTGAGAAGGATATGAGAATCATTGTAACCTGAATGCAGGTAATTTTCAAAGACAAGATGGGTGCAACTTCTTTGAACAGCAGCAGTGAGTAACCGTTGCAATAAGATGCTGGTGACTGACAGCCCATCTCTCAAAGCCTGTGTGACTTTGTGTAGGAAACGTTTTAGCCCAGCAAGTCATTAAATTGAATCTTGCTTGGTGGAATGAAATTTCAGTGGCTTTTAATGTGTTGTGCCTGTGGATCCCAAGGCAGCATAAACAGTCACTGAAGCCAATAAAGCCATGGCAGCTTAGACCAGGTAGAGATCTGCTCCCCAGGGCTTATGGAGAGGGCTTTCATGAAAAGAGATGGGTGACCTGACTAACTGCTCTAAAATGGAAACCCATGGGTAACAGGCAGAGGATGATGAGCCTCATCAGCAAAGGGATGGGACAAGGCTGCTGTCTGCAGAGCATGGAGCAGTGTCTCCATGATAAGGCACAAGTGGGAGCAGATCTGTAAGGCCTTGGGGGGACGCACAGAGGAGAAGGAAAATAAACATGGAGCTGTGAGTTATGCAGGGAGGGAGGGAGCTCCAAAGAGATGAGCAACATGGCTGGCTTGATCACATATTTTTGCCCATGCTGTTTTATTTTCTTTAGTACCAATGAGGATTTTGTCAGCCACATAAGACTCAGCACACCAGCCCCCTGAGCTCTCCTTCAAGCTCTAGCATTTGCTCCTCTGTTTTGGCAGGATCCCTCCAAACAGCCGTGTGCAGAGAGGAGAGCTATCTCCCCTGTGCTGTCCTCCCCACCTTCCTCTGCACACCAGGATACTTACCATACTCTCTGCTCAGCAGAGCAGTGAGGTACATGACACAGGTCTTGAAAGCAGTGACTGCTCCAGCCACAGCACCACTGCATATTAAAGTATTGTAGAAAACCACACAGGGTAAAAATACTGTTTGTAGAGTTAAATGGAAATAAGGTTTTGCTGGAGATTGATACACGTTTATTAATACTTTTCAATCTATTGCAATACCTGTAACAAATGTTGTTGGTACACAGATAAGTTTGTGACTAAAGAAAAACTAATGACACCTGTCTGACCAATTGCACTACTTTGGTTAACGAGACAGAAACATAGAGCTGCTATATCCCACAGGTACTTGAAAAGGGTTCAATTTAAACCAATTAATAAAATAGCCTGTTTGGACAAAAAATGGTTGTTCTCTGAGAATACGTGAATTCAACACTGCCAGAAAATCCCTGCCATCTGACGTAGAAGGATTTATAGGTTTAGTGGAAATTGCTTTCCCCACTGTCCAGATTAAATACTGCAGGATGATTTTTTGTATGAGTAAACATCCTTCCAATAACGATCAGACCGATAATGTCTTAAAAAGAAGAACAGGATCTACATTTTGTTTTTTTCCTGCTTGTATGGACTATTTCTGGATACAGAACCTTCAGGTAACATGTTGACTGTCCATAAAATGCATTTTAGCATCTTCCTCCTGTTGTGGGGATGGGTTTTATGCACTGAATGCAGAGTCCACCGACAAGGAAAAGAAATACATGAGGTATACAAAAAAGGCAGGTGAGTCTGATTCTCTTACATTCAAATAGCTACTGTTTGGACAAATTTAATGTTTCAGGTGAAGATATAATGACTAACAGATAATTAGAATTTGCATTTGCAGATTGTGATCTCTCACTCAAAAATATTTTCTGTTGCTGTTTTTGCCAATGAATAAGTTCTAATGCATTTTTCTACAGTGAAAAACGTTACTTCTCCAAAAGAAATGTGTGTGTGAGGTATTTCAAAGTTCAGAAGTGTGCAAAAAAGGAAGCATATGCTTATATTTATTGCGGTTAAAATATGTTAGTGTATTTACGTGACAGTGGAGAGGAAATTTAAGTACATGGGATTCGTTGCATTCATTGACAATCAGATTGACTTGAGATCTCAAATAAAAACATTCAGAATTTCTTTTATTATTTCCATACCATTTGTTTTATAGGGCTTTTGAAAGGAAAAAATTTAAGTCTCTCTGCAAACTTCAAGGGTATGTTCAGTTATCAGAGGAAATGGAAAGAACGTGCAATGTATTGAATTAAGATATTAAAAAATATTTTAAACATTGTCTATTCTTCTTTTTCTCTCTCTTACAAAAAGTCTGTGTGACATTTTTCTCCCACTTGTAGACAGACATTTTAGGAGGTTTTGAGTTGAAGAAGGTTTTTTGCTACAATTGAGTTCTGATTGCTTATATTCTATTTGGGGAATATTTAGAACTTTGTATAGGGATGTCTATACTCAAGCACATAACAAGGTGCACCTGGGCCAAAAATCCTTTAGGTGTTTTTATTTTTTTTGAGACTATAGCTGACACATTATTTTCCTGTCCATATATTGTGTACTTCTGCTTGTGACAGACAGAACCTTTGTTGTTTCTGCTTTGCTATAGTCACTGTCTCTGTTCTGTAATGGCTCTGTATCACCATCAGTACTGTAAAGTTCATGGTGATGGAAATGCAGGAATATCACAGTCCTGACGTATTCAAAACACTCCTGTTATTCTTCAGGAAAAAAAAAAACAACTGAAAGATAAAAGGGAGCAAAAGTACAGTGCCTTCTTGTTTTCCTGTAGCCCCTTGTAGCAAGTCAGGGCTACATCACAGAGTGACTGCAATGTCCTGGTTGGCACTTGGGGGTCCATGAGCCATTTTATACATAGGAAACTGCTCTACCAGTGATGCCACCTTTGTGGAGGTGTAACTGGCAAAATGGATGCAGTGGCTCTGTTCACAGTCAGCCCTCAGGGGATGCATTACCTGAGACAGTGTGGATGCAAGAAAGCCACAAAAACTCTATTTTCATTGATAATGGCAGCAGAGGTGATATGCTGGCTGTAGTGAAATAAAGGGGTGATGAAGCCAGGTACCACCATTTGAGCTGAAAATTGTCCAGCAGAGAGGAATGTGTACACACAGCCATGTTCTTGTTTAGCATCTCTAATGAAAACTCTTGCTGCACAAAAAGCTTAATGGTGTCAGTGCAATTAAGAGATAGTATAATAAATCACAGCAGCAGAACATTAAAATATGTGAAAATGGAAGAGACATACCTGTTCCGTTCATGTAGGTACTGCCTCTCCACCTATGCTTTGTATATATGGTGCAATTGTGCCAGGACAAGCTCATCAGAAAACCCCAAGGTGTCATGGCTCTGAGAAGCTGGGTCCACTAGCATGGCCATGATGGCCTGGGGGGTCATTTCTGGCCTCTTTCTGCCTCAGTAGAGAAGTACTGATTCTGGGGAGGGCTGATGGGGAGAGAGAAGCAAAGCCAGGATGTGGCTGTAGGGTTGTCCATCAGCAGCATGGTACACAGTGCAGTGTTTACGTTCCTCTGTGATGGGATAGGCCATGAGAGACAAATTGTTTTAACAGCATTGTCAGGTAGAAGAGGACAATTACGGTCATCTATCTGATTTCCTGCTAAGCACAAACAACAAACCCTTCTGTATGAACTGTACACCAAACCCTTGATTTATGATAAACATTTTCAGTGTCAAATAAACTTGGAATGGGATCACAAGTGTTTTTTAACTTCGGCTTCCACCCATTTTCTCCTGTTCTGTGCTAGCTTGTCTCTTCTCTGTCCAGGTATTTGCAGGTGGATCAAACCCCCTTTTCATCTTCCCATAGATACAATCTTGACTTTGTCATTTGCTTGTTTTCCTCTGTGCTTTCACTGCTTTTTTGGGATTGACATCAGAACTGGGTACAGTATTTTTGCAGTCTTCAAGTAGGACCTGTATACAGAGTTACTTCAACTGACCTCCTGGGAATGTGGTTACGGTCTCCCTTGCAACCCTACAATGGGAGATCATATTTGTCCAGCATGGCTAGGCATCTGTGTACAGCAGGGTGCTTCATCTTAGGGGTACAGCCAGTCCTCTTTGCTCTCAGGTCTCCATATGCTAAGATGCTGATCATATAAAATAGTTTTGAAGTAGGCACAGTTCCTTTGCCTTTCAGTCAAAGTCAATGCCTTTTTCCATCATAGAATTAGGTCCTGGAAGCAAAACAGAGCAAGTGAGGAAGCTATATAATGCCACAGAGAGCTTGCAGTGAAGATTGCTCCTAAATGTTTTATTCTTGAGTCTGCTTTTGCCTCCCTTCAGTGCTCAGCCCTGAACATCCGTTATGCAGAAGAACAATCTATAGCAATTGACTTTATTAGTCCTCTCTGATCACTGTTATCCCTTGCTCCATAAGGCTTGTGGTAAGGACCAGAATGGAAATACATCCCTTCACTGCAGCCTTTACCTTCTGAAGAGCCACAGACCTCAACGGAGTTTGATGGTGGAACTATCTGAAGTGGAAAAGGCTGTCCCCACACCAACACAGGATGCTCAGGGTGGCTTTATTTGCACCCATGGTCTCCCTAGCCTCCAGAAGTCCTTTTAGAGGCACAAGACCATCTGCTTGCCCTACTGCCAGGGCTCAGCGCCAGCCACCAGTGCTGGCTGGCGACGCAGGCACCTGCTGTAGAGACCTGCCACCTTGGGTGTGCTGCCAGCGTCCTGCTGCCCCGACAGACGTGCCCAGCTTCGCTCCCGTGTCTTGTGGTGTGGATGACGAAGGAAATGCATAGGCTTTTAGCTTCTTTATTTGGATAGTGCTGTTCTGCAAGTGTTAGTTTCTTTCAAGGAGACTCACTTGCTCTGGACTCCGATTTCAAATTAAAACTCACCATTTGCTCTGCAGTTTTCATCCCCAGGGCTTGTCCTTCCACCTTCTCAAATCCAGCTGAGCCCACAGCCTTTGCGCTCTTGCTGATACAGTGGATGGGCTGAATGGAGGGTCACAAGGTCAGACACCTTCTCTGCCACAACCTTTGGCACTGCAGGTACCCTAAGGCAGCCACCCTAGTACGAGACAAAACCGCTTTGAAGAAAGGTGATCAGACGGGAACGGTTTTCCCTCGCAA